GAGTCAGGCAAATCTCTCTTCTATTCTGCTTACTTAAATTGATGGAGAAGGTCGTTTATTTTAGGTTAAGGTGGTGGGTTGAATCTCACTTGATCATTCCTGAAATTCAAATGGGCTCTAGGCCCCTTCGCTCGTGCATTGACAACCTCACGACTCTAACTAATCATATTCATGCGGCCAATCTGGCTGGCCAATTCACGGTCTGCGTATTTGTCGACATTGTCGGCGCTTTCGACAACGTCATTCCCTCTATCCTCGTTGATGCTCTGAGGAACCTCGGTATCCCGGCCAAACTGCGCAGGTTTATTCAGAATCTGACCTCGGAGAGAGAGGTCTTTTTTGTTAAAAACGACAGACTAAGCGAACCATATGTAATTCACAAGGGCACCCCACAAGGATCAATTCTAAGTCCGATTCTATTTAACATTTATCTCGCTGATATAATTGACTGTATTCGAGGCAAGTCTCTTATGCTGCAATACGCAGATGACATAGCGATCTTCGCTCACGACACTAACCTCACGAAGGCCGTCGAATCTGTGCAAAATACTTTAGATTTCCTACAGGTTTATCTACGAGCAAAGGGCCTCGAGATCTCTCCAGACAAGTCTCAATGCGTAATTTTTTCACGTAAGAATAAGATTCCAGACTTTCAGCAAATTAGAGTGGGGGATCAAATCATTCCTCTTTCGGATTCCTTTAAGTTTCTGGGAGTCTGGCTGGATGCGAAGATGACGGGCAAGAAACATCTCACCTATCTAATTCAGAAAGGCAGATCGATTGTTAACATTCTATCCTCTCTATCGGGAGTTTGGTGGGGCTCACACCCCCATTCGCTCCTAACAATTTATCGCGCCGTGTTCAGAGGCTCCATCGAATACTGCTGCCAAGTATTCCAATTTCAACGAAATCAAACATTATTTCGATGCCTGGAACGCCTCCAATAGAGGGCTATCAGAATCGCTATGGGATATCGAATCTCTACCCCGATCAATATAATGCTTGCAGAGGCTAAGGAGTCCCCCTTAAGGAATAGATTTAGGCTGCTGTCGTCTAGATTTCTTCTAAAGAGTTTCTCAAAGAGCGGTAATCCTATGATTAACAGTCTTCGCCACTTAGAAGATATCACCTGTAACAGGCGGAAAAGAATAAAAGCCCTACGATCCATTGCTATTTTTAAACAATACATTTCTTGTAAACATTACGAAGGACACATTAAGCGCTCTAATTTTCTTCCTGCTTTCCCATACCCATACAACGTGTCTATTTTTACACAAGAATACAGGGAAGTAGTTACTCATGTTAACGATTCCACCCCCAGAGAATTCATTGTATCTAAATTTCAAGAATTCCTGCATACCCTCCCTCAAGATACCACTGTGCTATATACGGACGGTTCTAAATTGGGCACGAACGGCCCCACTGGAGCGAGTATTTATTTTCCAACGTTGCAGCTGAGTCTTTCTCACCGCCTCCCGTCGGGCACCTCAGTTTTCACTGCAGAAGCCTGGGCTTTACTCGTCGCTGCGAGAAACAGTGTGTCATGGCTGTCATCTTCACCGACTCCAAAAGCGTTTTAGAGGCCATTGCTTCACCTAAAACTAATAACGGCAATTATCTAGTGTACGCTCTCAAGAACCAGCTGTATTTAGCTACTTCCTTGGGTACCCGGGTGGACCTTGTCTGGATCCCCTTTCATAGAGACATACGGGGGAACGAAGAGGCGGACGAACTTGCCAAAACCGGCGTCAGAAGCGGTACTCGCATGGACATAGAGATTCCGTACACGGACACACTCGCGGAACCTAAAGCTAACTCTGCAAGATAGTTCCAGCATTACTTAAGTGGAAAATTTCTGCAAAAATTTGTTTACTATATGAACAACTCTACCGGGATACCTCACCTAAGACTTGGTATGCTAAACTCCCCTTGAAAAGAGAGGAAATCACTCTAATTAACCGCATCAGGTCTAACCACTACAACTTGAATGCCAGTCTGTTCCACAAGAATATGGTCCGCTCGAGCGCCTGTCCCTGCGGAGATCCTCACCAGGATATCAATTACATAATTTTTCAATGTCCCATCACCAACCCCAAATCAGTCAAGCTTACTACATTCATTGACACCACTTCCCCGAATACTCCTAGAGATATCTTTCCCTTATTAAAAAAGCCCTCGGCTAAATTGTGTCGTCTTCTTTTGGCTTTTTCTCAACCTTCGCATTTGAAACTCCCGCGCCCGGCCTGCGTTTCGGCAGGAAGGGCTTCACTCAGCCATACCAACATATTATTTCTACGTTACTCTTTTGTTAATTCATGTTACTCGCTGCTTGGAGCGGCTATATCGTTTCTGGCCCAATCGACTCCGTGGTAGGAGTCGAGGCCACTCTTATGCCTGTTCTACAATAGAGTTGCAAGTCGTAAGCCGTAAGAAATTCGGCAATCACAGTTAAATGTGAGAAGAATAATCGACTATGATTGATTAATTTCTTACGGCTTACCGCTTACGACTCTATTGTAGAACAGGTCTTAGCAAAGAAGAAGAAGATCATACGTATATTCATGGTGTAATAAAACAAGGTGTAACATTCCCGTGGATGCGCAGTAGTATGCGCTTCGACAATCACATTTGGGTCCAAATGCACCCGCGAAATTTAAATACATAAATAATTACATATAATTAAAATGTATTTCTATTTAAGATTAAACGTATTTCTATTTAAGATTAAATGTATTTCTATTTAAAAATAATGTAAAAAATA